AGGAGCTCTCTAAGCCAGTAAGCTCTGAATGTCTGGTCTCAAAAAGAGACTAACATGTATTTTTGGTTATCAAAAAGTTCGGTAATTTCGAGAAAGTTTGATAATGGTTTCCATTCACGCGAGTGCTGCAGTGGAGTTCATATGAAAGTTGATATAACCGCGCATTTGTGGCTTGTTTTCAGTCCAGCAGGGAGGTCAAAATACGTGTGCGAATATATCTCTACTGACTGAAAGTTTCTTCACAATGCAGGTAAGAATATCATTGCAAAGTAAGCCGATTTTTCCTGCAGTTGAGCTGCAATGCTCGTTGATGCTTCCTCGTGAAAACTTGTGCGGCGATCAATCGATCTCCTGATGCCGCATTGTGATGGGTTGATTGGCAGCGAGTGTGATTGGCAGCGAGTGTGATTGGCAGCGAGTGTGATTGGCAGCAAGTGTGATTGGCAGCGAGTGTGATTGGCAGCGAGTAAGTTTGTTTTGAGTACTATTGTATTTGTCTTATCTTATTTCATGTTATCAGTATATAGCTGATTTGCCGTTACGTTGTTGTTCATCTTAACTAGTCAAACGTTAAGAAGAAGAGGCCATTAATACACATACAAAGGCGAAAAAACGTTGATTAAATGTTTATTGTTTGCAATCAACGCACAATAAATGCTATTTTGACGTCATTTGCCAGTTGTGTCACAGATTTTCAACTTACGCACCAGACGCTGAGTTAACATCCCTCGTACACGAAGCGGCCTAATTAAGTATACGCAGTGGCCTTAGTACATGTAGCGGCCTAAGTACATGTAGCGGCCTTAGTACACGTAGCGGCCTAAGTACACGTAGCGGCCTAATTAAGTATACGCAGTGGCTAAAGTACACGTAGCGGCCTAATTAAGTATAACTGGGCATTCTTAAAGTATTTTTCATGCATGCGTTATCAAAGTGAGGATAAAACATGGTAGCAGAAACCGTATCATAAATACTGCTCATATATAGTGAATTTTGTGAAGACATTCGGTAAAAGCTAGTAAAAATTTTCCTGTTTAAAATCCATGATAAAGTTGGAATAAATTCCTAATAACTCGAATATTCAAAAAAATTAAATACTATCAGATCAATTTTACAGAAAATCGAAATGATTAGATTTTTTCAGGCGTGTACTGGCAGACTGCGGCGTGCGATTCGATCTCCCAACCGGAGCATTCCATCCTGTAAGGCCACGAATATGAGGTCACGATACATTGCGGCGTCATGTCCGTGTCAGTAGTATCCAGTATCACCATCAGCGAGGCGTTGACAGGTCCCCCAGTCATGGTGGTGAAAGGGGCCGTCTCTGAAGTCCTCTTGAGGTCGTAGCAGAACTTGCCTTGACTCTGAACCGCCACCAAGTCCTTCAGGACTGTCGGCACTTGCACCAGACGCAGTCCTATGGCCTGACAGGCTGCCAGGGACATGCTGAAACGACATCACGACTACATTTTCGATTCGCATTGAACATTCAATGTTTCGTAAAATTATTGGGTGCAGTGAAGGAATCACTCTAATTTAAAAGCATGGTTGATTTAGAATCAAACTTGGTTTTACTGACATATAACAGCTACTTACTTTGAGATGGCGCAAAAAAAAATCAAGAAGGATTAAGCCGAACATGCAGCCACAACTGCACTATTGATTAGGAAGCAGCACCGAGTAAGATAAATCACTCAATGTGACCCTGAGTACATATCATTAGGACACCAACCCTGATTATTGGTTCGAACCTACAATGACCGTACGCATATTCAACGCTCTGCGTGTTTGCTTAACGTCAGGGGACTTTTGATTATCGCAATAATGTATGAGCGCCCAACCTTAAATTTGACTCACTCGGGAACGTCGTAGTCAGGAGGAGGCAGACGGAAGAGGTAGTCACCGTTGGACAGGGACATGCCCCTGTAGTAGAGGCCCGGGAGGCCAGTCGTGTACCACGCCTCCCGCACGAACAGCACGCAGTTCGGGACCTGCCCAGTGGAGAAGATATTACTGGATATATCCTGCCACGAGGAAATAATATCAGTGGATATATAACATACTCATGGAGAGGATATCCATTGATATATCACATCCCCAGCGGAGAGGGTATCAGTGGATATCTAACCTTCAAAGTTTAGAGGATCCCACAATAAACCCAGTTGAGACTCCAGGACTCTCAGACGTATACCCTTGCTAATAGGTCTTTCATTATTATGATAATCATTACTCATGTACTTGCAGTTGGATTCTTAACTTGTCGTATGTTAGGGAAAACGTGGATCATGCTTGTCGTGATAACAACAGATAATCAACTGATGTGGTCTCCCAGCATCAAAAACTGCATATATCTTTATGATGGTGTGCACGGTGATCACTCTAACAAATCTGTAAATAATTAGAAGAAACTTAATTTTTCAATTTACCTCTCCTGCCCGGAAAGCGAAGGCCCCACATTCGGGGTTCAGGCGACACTGTCCCCCACAGGCGACAGGCGAGCCGGCCCACATCATCTCCTGCTCCCCACTGAAACTTTCCTGCGACAGCTGGACTGTGAAGGACAGCCCCACGCCCCCTACCGCCCAGGGCCGCGTCAGGGCGCTGACCACTGCCAGCAGCCGAGCCACCGCCCGCCACTTAGCCATTTGCCGAGTGGCTGAAACAAATAATGGAGTGACAAATACTAATCAGTGGACTCACTGAACTAGTGAGTCAGGTGACTGAACATGCGAGCGGTGGCTAAGAAAGTATGTGGGGAGACTGAACTAATGAGCGAAGTGACTGAACGTGTGAACAGAGACAGAACTAGTTAGGAGGTGACTGAACCAATGAGCGAGGTGATTGACGATTAATTTCATGATTACCAATGCAATCCTGAAGCTCCCTGCTCACGTGACATAATCGTTGATACGAACGATGAGCTTGATTGATCTTCTTCAATATCTTCAGGGTGTGTTATTTAGATTTTCAGATTTGGTTAAGAGCCCAATAGCTTTTGAAAGATAACTTTAAGAATTTTAAGAGGTTCTGTTGGAATTATAATTATCTATTATTCACAAACCTTTCTTAAATTCGCATGATATCGAAAACATTCTTTTTCTTTGAGGTCTATTAAACTACAGTAAGAATTTTTATTGAGTTTAAACAATGCGTTATTTGGTTAGCCATCATCCGTTTAATAAGAACAAGAAGAATAAACAAGAAAATTATACAATATCCAATTCACAAACAGCTATTGAGCATAAAATTTCATTTGAATATTGATTTCATTTGATATCAATTTATTGATATCGAATTGTAAAATGTCATTTGATATAAATTTTACTTATATCTATACCGATTGAAAATGAAATTTCGAGTAAATTGCATATATCTTCAATATGAAATAAAATTTTCTAAAGGTAACGCTGATGGTACAATGGCTAATAGCCTCCCACTAATCATTTAATCAACCTCCTTAATCACAAACTTTACCTTTCACCAGCGTAGCCCCAATTGTGACGGACTTCTTACGAAATCTTGGGTGGTTAGCGACTATTCCTGATTTAGGGTTGTACAGCTGCTAACAGACTTTGTGGCTCACTGAGGCAGACTCTTAAGAATGGTGCTTTGCTCCGCAGGGTGCCCTATATATTAATGATCATCGCTCATGTGATATGCATTCGTATAATTTCATGGCCGCATGAAATTTAATATTAGACTTTTTATTACAGTCAGTGTACAAATGAGGTTCATGAATTCAGTGAAACTATGACGAATTTGTCGTAATTGGTAGTGTATTTTGTCTGTATTGTTGTTAGAAGTAAAAACGCCGTTTACATCTTCGTATAGACTTAATGCATGCAGTCCGTCACGGATAAACATTAACCTGAGCGGCCATCAGTCGACCCGAGGCCGCTGCTCGGGATAATTGGCAAATATATCGCGCTGCCTTTCAGTGATGGAATGCAATTCATTTTGTGAATATACTAATACAAGTGAATGATAGTTGGGTAGAGACTTCTTTTATTATTAACCAGGGATGTTGATCGCTTGGAACGCCAAAAATTAATGCAAATTGAGATATAACGTTTTATTGACCATGCCGACACAAACTTTACCTTATTCGTTGCACTGTCCCTTCTAGAATTGTAATTTTAAGGTAATTGACATGAATATTATATTTTAGATCTCGGTTCTCTTTATTCGTAATGACATTACTCACTTAGTTGTGATAGTTGCATCAATAAAAATAGCCGCATATCAAAGTTCTAAGTAACTCACTTCTTACTTAGTAAATTTCAATTGAATTTCGTGCTGAAGCCTCATAGAAATAATTGACTTTTGCTACAATTTAGTACAAAACCCCATTTCTTCATTATTCGGGCATTCGATCACCAGGTCGTAAGGAAGTGGGAATGAGTGGTCAAGAACCCAGCATTCAAGGATAATATATAAATTTGTCCCACAAAAGTTACAATATGAAGTCCTCGTTTTACGTATATGCTTATCAATTTTTGAGTGCCTTTTCTGAACTTGAATCCACCAGGTAAATGACGTTGAAAAACGTTTCATTGAGTTGATTCAACGAAAAACGTTCAAATCAACGTTGATTCAACGTCAGATTTCTAGTGGGTGCAAACTATACACCGGCCAAGTCAATTTCTTTTTTACGGTTTCACAATAATAGGAAATAGGATGAATATATAATATATAACAGAAATCTTGTCTAGTCGTGTATTTGAGCATTTTTAACACACTTATAGAAACTTATCTACATCTGACAAATGTGAAACTTACTAACTTATTTTAAATATATGGAATGCAAGAGACTCGTCTAACGAAACATTCTAGTTTCCTTGGCTACAAGATGGCGCAGATCAAGATGAAGCCTATGGATTTATCGAACTTTACGGGGTCAAATACTTGAAAACGTGGTCGGTCGTTTTTACACGTTACGAAACCAACTTCAAGCCACAAAAATTACGAAAAAAAGTTCCACTTTCCGTGAATAGTATATTTCAGTCAGGTGTACAATACATTGTAAACAGATATACTGAGTATTTTGTGCACTGTGTCATACAAACTGTGCGTCAAATAAAATAAAGATGGCAATATATAGGAACTATGTTAGCGCTATATTCTCCTCAGATACTGTACTTCATGAGAGTGTCAAGTGAATTTTTTCATTCAAGAACCAGCAAATATTTTCAATACCTTTGAAACCCGGTTGAAAAATTTGATCAGACCAGCGTTAAATATCCGGCTAAATACCGTGAAATTTTACAGCCGAAACGTTTTTTTCCTGCGCTCTCGCCAAGACGCGGATGTGCTGAAATGTGACGGGGTTGTGACGGCCGGGGTGTAATAGGGTGTTACAAGGTGTGGCATCACGTGAAAATAATTGGCAGGAGTGTGATGGGGTGTGATAAAGAGTGGAGGAGTGTGACGGGGGTCTGATCAGGTCTGAAAGGGCTCAACATAATTTAAAGTGTTTCCGATTTTCGTAGGTAAAAAGAGGCAGCTGAGTCCAAAATCCTGGTCCAGCACTTAACCTCTGCGGTTGTGATTGAAATTTTAATATTGAGAATCTGTGCTTAGAGTTAGGAGGTTGCTCCTGAATCTCATGAATATTTTCATGGAATCATCATATCAGCTAACATAAATACATGAGTGATAGATAACTGTGGTATAACTCACTTGCATTTAGTCTTGTCAGCTCATTGTGACATCAGTGAATACCTTTCACTGCAAATTACAATAAATCAACTCTGCATGACTTAGACTTAATGTTTCAGAACATGAAACAAGTGCTTAGAGATTTCATGGCTTGTACTGGCAGACTGTGGCGTCAGATTTGACGCCCCAGTCTGGACAATGCATCCTAAAATTCCAATTGTAGTGACTCGCGATGCATTGAGGTGTAAGCGATTTGCTCGAATTATCCCGTATGACAAGCAACGAGGCGTCAACAGGCCCTCCAGTCATGGTGGTGAAAGAGGCCGTCTCTGAAGTCCTCTTGAGGTCGTAGCAGAACTGGCCTTGGCTCTGAACCGCCACCAAGTCCTTCAGGACTGTCGGCACTTGCACCAGACGCTGGCCGATCGCCTGGCATTTAGCCAGCAACTGGCTGGTAGAAGGGTTTTCAATAATTTTCATAGTAGTTCACAGTTATATATAATTTATGCACCATTATGGCAGCAGTATCAAGTTCATCAACGTTTCAAAGCAGTGGTGTACCAGCTGGAAAGCAGTGGTTTTGCTGCAAAGCAGTGGTATAACTATCCACGACATATTTAAGTCCTTCAGGACTGTCGGCACTTGCACCAGACGCAGGCCATTGGTTTTGCAGGCAGCCAATTAAAGACTGGCTGGAAAAACATCACGTCCACATTTTTAATTCAAACTGAACATTCAATGAAGCACAAAATGATTGAGCAAATTTAAGGAACATTTTCAGCTGAAAATATTGCAGATTTCAGAGTGAAACCTTGTGGGCATAATGTAACCCCATTAGTTTTCACTGGCAGAAAACGAATTTTGTTTCTCCTATAGTTGCGTATTTGACGGTATTTCCCAATAACTAGCCAGACAAGCAGCTAACATGAAGTACTGATTACATTTTCAATATGTTTTTTCGAAAACTTTGTTTATTTTGAATATCCGTTGAGAAAGGGTTACATTAGGCTTGCGAATTTCTGAACTGTTTTTCAGCTCATTGTTTTGAGGTTCATGGTAAACGTCTACGGCCACGATGCAAGCGCCGCCTTCGATGGCAAGCATCGCCCATGAACGACATCGCAGAACTTTCACAGGTTACGGAGGCTTAACCCCTTAACTTGCTGCTAAATTATCGAAACGTCCAGCGAGCAGTTTTTATTGTCGCAATATTAATTTGCGCTGTGAATATTCCTCATTTCAAATTCTCGTCGTTAACACAATTATTTATTAGTGTCCACCCCCGTTTGACTCACTCGGGCACGTCGAAGGCAGGAGGAGGCAGACGGAAGAGGCGGTCGCCGCCGGACAGGGACATGCCCCTGTAGTAGAGGCCCGGGTGGCCCGGCGAGTTCCACGTCTGCCGCACGAACATCACGCAGTTCGGGACCTTTTGGATAAAATAAACAAGAAGCCGTTAATGGTGGCGGCGTTAGAGTGGGTGTTAAGAATTGTCGTGCCTTCATACGAGTGATGTAAACTGATGCAGTCAATAGAGGCTGAAACAGTCATGTTGCTCGTTGGCTTGTGCATGACGATGAAGCGATCTATGATTATTAGAAACAGCCAGACACCCTGACAGCAAGCTGTGTGGTGAGCACTTGTCTATATGGTTCCTCGCCACTGAATCATTAAAGCAAGATCCAACTCGGAACTACCCTTGAACAGTCAATCTTCAACGGTTAACGTACCTCAGTTGCTTTGAAAGCGAAGGCGCCACATTCGGGGTTCAGGCGACACTGTCCCGCACAGGCAACAGGCGAGCCGGCCCACACCTTCTCCTGCTCCCCGTCGAAACTTTCCTGCGACAGCTGGACTGTGAAGGACAGCCCCACGCCCCCTACCGCCTTGGGCTGCATCTTAGCGGACAGCTGGCCTGTGGATCCCAAGCCCCTCACATCCCAGGGCCGCGTCAGGGCGCTGACCACCGCCAGCAGCCGAGCCGCTGCCCGCAACGCAGCCATCCGCCGAAAAGCGGATGCAAATGTGAAGTGGCCGAAGCAGTGAGTGGGGTGACTGAACTAGTGAATTGATTTGCTGATACAGTGAGCGGGGTAACTGAAACAGTTAACGGAGTAGTAGTATACTACAAGTTTACAACGTAATATATATAATTCAGATTAAGCCATGTTTGTACCGTTGCCGATTCTCGAAATCATAGAGATTTGCACAGATAGATAAGGGTTTGGTTCCTGGTTCCCAGAACTTGCTTCTCCTATCTTTTGATCATACCCCCTAAACCACCTCGCTCATATTCCGAACAGTTCTACACTTTACCTTTAGAACTATAACTACTTTTTTCTCTAGAACTATAACTACTTTTTTTCTCTTTCTATTGAGTCGTGCTGTGTTGCTTCTGTTTGTAAAAGAATAAAGAATACTATCAATTTACCCCCAGTTAACACGTGCTCTTATTTAGTTTAGCGGCACCAACACAAGGCTATGCTGCAAGCACCACCTACTGCTACCAAGCGTCGCCAACCTACGACACCGAGATATGGGCCGAACTAACCAAGTCTCGTACCTCTCATCTATGTTCCGCTATCCCTGCAGTACAGTGGCTAGGTTAGATGTTATAAAATTAAAAAGTATTTATAAAGGCCTCCACAATTATTAGTCGATCAAGCAGCCCAAACCTCTTCACACAAGGCCAGTAAACGGTAATCACTTGCGGTCAATAACGTCCCTCTGCTCGGCTCACCAAGAGGGTAGACTTCCCTCCACTCAGGAGCCCCGCGTGTGAGTGACACTCGCCTCATAAGTGCGATCTTTCAAGCCATTAGGTTTTACCGTTCGCATGTCTAAGGGCTGTGATTTTAACGGAAATTCAAGGCGGTTCTTTTTATGTGAGCCTCGTTGATGAATTCATGTAAGAGCTCACCAAAGTGTATTCGAAACGCGTTAGTTTCGACTCCGTTGAGAGGTTAAATTGAGACAGTTCCGAACTAGGTACGAATACCATTATAAAATAGACCTGTCACCCCTCTAATGCAGCGCTAATGTATTCTGGTCATCAGGAGAAATATACGTGATATGCACTTCCAATAATCCGATCGCGGGCTTCGAAGCTGGTGCTGTTAAAGCAAATGCAACAGGCAGCCTCTTCTAACAGATAATAGAATTATGTTTAGACGACATGAAGTTATATGAGTAAATGTAAGGAGATTCAAAAATGTTATATTTATGAACGTTTAGCTGTTAAGATTGACATCGATGACTCAAAGCAAAGAATTGCAACTGCAATAAGATAACGATCCGCAGCTCACGCTGACCCGTGCGTCCGCTGATCATAATGCTATTCTTACCTGAGTTGTGCATGGCCATCCGCTACATGGTTGAAAAAATATAAAAATTAACGGCAAATTTAACCGAAGTCATCTAAGTGACATTCATCGCACTGCTAAGTAGCGTGTATCGCACTGCTATTTAGCATCGCGTGTCCAAACGACATAACATTTGTAAAGTCTGGCCTCATATCCACCTCGTGTACTGAGCACTCAAGGCTTTAAAAGCCAATCGTGAGGGTATGACTTCGGAAATCTGGGAATTTAACCATAAAATTGTGGCACTATGACAACCATTTAAAACATTGTGACACGACATACACACGAGCAGCAAGTAGGAGGCACGACATACACACGACACACGAACAGCAAGTAGGAGGCACGACATACACGATGCAATAATAATAACATAAATTCGTTATGTTATTATAATAACGTAACGCGTAATGACATAACTGCGCTATATTAACCACATCCACTCAGTAAAATAACAGGCCGCGTTGTCCAGATAGTGACTCATTTTACTACCCTCGATCAGCACGAGCAGATAGCGCACGAAGCACTGATTTTGCTGGACATACTGGGTCAGAATGACACACGTACAAGGCAATTAAGAAGGGCTTCGCTATTTGAATAATTTCTCTTTTTTACAACACTTCTCTTAACTTCACTTTTTGTTGTTTGTCTGTTTGTCTGATACAAAACTTATAGGCGACATTTAACACACTTCTTCCAGTCCAATCGATCTGAAATTTTGCACACTTGCGTAAAGTCGGAGACAATGCATGAATCAATTGACAGAAAAAATAATTTTTAAATAAAAACAATTATTTAATAAAAACATTTCAATAATAATTTTTTTAATTTAGGAGGAATTAGAAAATAATTTTTTATTATATAATATTTTAAAATAAAACCAGAAATTTCTCATGTGTAACATCAGAGACTGTGAATTCTTTAGAAGTGTTGTCTTTAATAAGTAATTTTTAACCGAATATTATTACGTTTAGGATAGTGAAGCAATAATACTTTGTATCTTCGAAGGCATAACTCATGCCTGACAACTTTTTACGAAGGTTAATTAAAGATTAGACCATGTTAAAATTACAATTCAAAACTACATTTTAAATCATGTTTAAAATCGAGTTCCAACATAACATAACAAAGAAGAGTTGTCGGTGCTTAAGAATAGGCCTGGTGTGGCCTGTCGCCGATTCTTGTACTCTCCGTGACTTGCTCACAGGAGACCTGATAATATGAGCTTAAAAATTACTTTTTAAATACCACACTTCTAAAGAGGCCGGTGGTTCCGATGCTACCATGTACAATGAATTTCTTATTTTATTTTTAAATAATAATTTTTTTTTAATTATCTTTTAGATTTTGTCAATTGATTCATGCATTTTTTCCGATTTTGCGCAAGTGTGTAAAATTTCAGAACGATTGGACAGGTAGAACTTAGAAGTGTGTTAAATATCGACTATAAGATTTGCAGCAGACAGACAAACAAGAAGTTTAGTTAAAATAACTCCTTTGACCGGATCTTGTAAAAAAATGAACATAGTTTGAAATAGCTACTAGACTTCCACTAAGTTCGATATGGGGCTAGGCATTTCAAGTCTGAACATATACCACTTCATAGCATTGTTCTCTTACGTTCTTGAACGCGTTAACGTAATTATATAGTTTTGGTTTGCGTCTAAACTTTTCCCGCGTTTACGTTTAAAATTCCCTGCGTTTAGGTCTAAATTTTGGCCGCGTTTACGTCTAAATTTTTCCCGCGTTTACGCCTAAATTTTTTTCGCGTTTGCGTCTAAATTTTGCCCGCGTTTACGTCTTCACACTTTGTTCACGTAGCACTGATGCACACTTCTGCACGTTTGAGTGTCGTGAAACGCGTACAGTATACCACGTCATTTTCGTGATATAGACGTGGTAAAGGCGTGATATAGACGTGGTGAAGGCGTGATATAAACGTGATATATTATAGACGTGAAATATTGTAGAAGCAATATATCATATATCAACTCAACGTGGCTGCTAGAAAAGAAAAACCGGATCGTGAATGCGTTAATTTATTCCGTCGTCATTTCTTCAGTATTATCTAGCGGTCGGACTTTTACGAGAAGAATTACTTTGAATTTTACGAGAATAATTACTGTTAACGCCGTGTCATGCATTCGTCTTCTGTAATGATATTCCTACCGGAATTGTGTCAAGGTACCAATGCCACCATCCGTAACCTTTTACATGTAATGATATTCCTACCTGCGGGGTGCCTGGCCATGTTCAACATGATAAAAAAAATCTTTTCGAGCGTTTAGTGAACGCTGGGCAGAAATGGCGGCTGTAATGCAACGCGGAACTCTGGTCCATTAGTGAGTCTCTGGTCCATTAGTGAGTCTCTGGTCCATTAGCGAGTCTCTGGTCCATTAGTGAGTCTCTGGTCCATTAGTGAGTAAAATCTTGCGTGGTTAACGACTAATCCAGATCTCGGGTCGTACAGCCGCTAACAGGCTTTGTGGCTCACTGAGGCGGACTCTTAAGAATGGTGCTTCGCTCCGCAGGTCGCCCTATAAATTAATGCACGTTGCTCATGTGATATGCATTCGTGTAATTTCATGAACTCATGAAATTTAATGTTCAACTTTTTATTACAGCCAGTGTGCCAGTGTACAGATGAGGTCCATAACTTCAGTGAAATTATGACGAATTTGTCGTAATTGGTATTCTATTTTGTCTGTATTAATTGTTATTAGCAGTAGAAACGCAGTTTAAATCTCCGTATAGATTCAATGCATGCAGTCCATCACGGATAAACATTAACCTGTGCGGTCATCAGTCGACCCGAGGCCACCGCTCGGGATAATTGCCATATATTTCTGCCTGTCTTTCAATGATAAAACGTAATTCATTTGTAAATAAACTAATACAAGTGAATTATAGTTGGGTAATGACTTTTTTAATATTAAGTGAATTAGTTGGGATACAAGATTTCGTTGGATAGTGACTTTTTTAATATTAACCAGGGATATTGACAGCATGACGTCCAAAATGAATGCAAATTGAGATTTAATGTTTTATTGACCATACCGACTCAAACTTCACCTTATTCGTGGCCCTGTCCCTTCCAGAATTGTCATTTTAAGGTAATTGTCATAACCTTATATTGTTGATCACGGCTCTTTTTATTCGTAATGTCATTACTCAGTTTTGACAGTGGCATCAATAAAAATCTTCGCATATTAAAGATCTAAGTAACCCACTTGGCCACTTCTTTCATAGCAAACTTCCATCAATTGAATTTCGTGTTTAAGCGTCATCGAAATAATTGACTTTTGCCACACATTCGCCTAAATAATATCGGTTCCTTCCCTGTTAGAAAAACTATAGTAGAAATCAATGAACTGACCAGCGTTACACTGACAGATTTAAACCGGAAAATTGTAGGCGAAACCCGCATTTTCATTTGACTGCAATGAGGAGGATGCGGATTGCAATATATGCTATCTGCGGAGAACAAGTTCCAGTGATCGGTGGAAGGGACTGGAAAAGGGTGGACGTACAAAACCCCATTTCGTCATTCTTCAGGCATTCAATCACCAGGTCGTAAGGAAGTGGGAATGAGTGGTCGAGAACCCAGCAATTAAAGATAATATATATATTTGTCCCACAAAAGTTTGAATATGAAGTCTTCGTATTACGTATATGCTTATTAATTTTTCAATCGCCTCATCGACGAAAATAGCGAATATTTCTCAATATTTCGTCCTATTTTAATATTTGGCTATCATGCAGACGTTTTAATGCCACTTCTGAAAATAAATCCAACAGGTAAATGACGTTGAAAAAACGTTTTATTGACGTTGATTGAACGAAAAACGTACAAATCAACCTTTGATTCAACGTAAGATTTCTTGTGGGTACAAACTGTACACAGGCCAATGTCAATTTCCCTTTTACGGTTTCACAATGATAGGATGAATACATAAAATAGAACAGAAATCTTGTCTAGTCGTGTATATGAAAAATTTTAACACACTTGTGGAAACTTATCTACATTTGACAAATATGAAACTTACTAACTTATTTTAAATATATAGAATGCAAAAGACTCGTCTAACGAAACATTCTAGTTTCCTTGGCTGCAAAATCGCGCAGATCGAGATGAAGCTTATGAATTTTTCGATTTTTACCGAGTCGAATATCCGAAAACGCGATCAGTCATTTTTACACGTTACGAAACCAATTTTTAGTTATAAAAGTTATGTAAAAAATGAGTCAATGTATTTAGAGCAGTATATTTCAGTAAGGTGCACAATAAATTGTAAACAGATATACAGAGTATTTTGTGCACTGCGTCATCAAAACTGTGCGTCAAATAAAATAAAGATGGCAATATATAGGAACTATGTTAGCGCTATATTCTCCTCAGACACTGTACTTCATGAGAGTGTCAAGTGAATTTTGTCATTCAAGAACCAGCAAATATTTTCAATACCTTCGAAAACCGCTTGAAATTTTTGATCAGACCAGCGTTAAATATCCGGTTAATTATACTGTGAAATTTTACGGCCGAGAGGTTTTTTTTCCTGCGCTCTCGCCAAGACGCGGATGTGCTGAGATGTGACGGGGTTGTGAGGGCCGGGGTGTAATAGGGTGTTACAAGGTGTGGCATGGTGTGAAAAGATTTAGCAGCAGTGTGATGGGGTGTGATAAACAGTGGCGTAGTGTGATGAGGGTCTGATGAGGGCTGAAAGGGCTCAACAAAATTTATATTGTTTCTGGTTTTCGTAGGTACAAAGAGGCAGTTGTGTCCAAAATCGTGGTCCAGTATTTAACCTCTGTATTTGTGATAGAAATTCTAATATTGATATTCGTGCTTAGAGTAGGAGTATTCTCCTACATTTCGTGAATATTTTCATGGATATAAGTTAACATAAATACACAAGTGGGAGAAAACTGTGGTATAACTCACTTGCATGTAGTCTTGCTAGCTCATTGTGACATCACTGAAGACGGTTCACTGCAAATTACAATGAATCAACTTGTCAATGATATTTGATAGATAACATGACACAGACTAAATGTTTCAGAACATGAAACAAGTGCTAAGAGATTTTAAGGGGTGTACTGGCAGACTGTGGCGTCAGATTTGATGATCCAGTCAGCACAACCCATCCTAAAAGGCCAATTGTAGTGACTCGCGATGCATTGAGGTGCAAGTGATTTGCTCGAATTATCCTGTATGACAAGCAGCGAGGCGTCAACAGGCCTTCCAGTCATGGTGGTGAAAGATGCCGTCTCCGAAGTCCTCTTGAGGTCGTAGCAGAACTGGCCTTGGCTCTGAACCGCCACCAAGTCCTTCAGGACTGTCGGCACTTGCACCAGACGCAGGCCGATGGCTTTGCAGGCAGCCAATAACTGGCTGGAAAAACATCAAGACCTCATTTTAATTCAAACTGAACATAAACTGAAACACAAAATTATTAAGTACATATAAAAAACCTACTATAAGTTGAAAAACAAGGCAGATTCCAGAGTGAAACCTTGTAGATATAATGGAGCCCCATTGGTTTTAACTGGCAGAAAACAAATTTTGTGATGCCTACTTTCGGGAATTTCTCAATAACTAACCAAATAATCAGCTAACACGAAGTACTGAAAACATTTCAATGTATTCATGAATTCATATGACACTTGTTTTATGAATAATCCTCATTTCAACTTCTTGTCGTTAATTATTTGTTAGTGTCCACCCCGTTTGACTCACTCAGGCACGTCGTAGGCAGGATGAGGCAGACGGAAGAGGCGGTCGCCGCTGGACAGGGCCATGCCCCTGTAGTAGAGGCCCGGGAGGCCTGGCGAGCTCCACGTCTGCCGCACGAACAGCACACAGTTTGGGACCTGCACAGCGGCGAGGACCAATCCTACAATAAACGTACACTACGACAAATTTGTGAGACTTCATCCAATAATCATAAACTTCTTGTCATTGTACAGGCCACATGAGGCCTACTCTTCAGCGCCGACATCACTATGTTATATGAGTAACACTCAATTAGTTTAGTCGTGAATTTCAGTGCTGCATGTAGAAAGCGTGTCACTAGCTTGAGAAAAAGAAATAACACCCAGGATTTTGTGCGAGGTTCGCTAAACTCGGCCAAAAGAAGTCTAGTGAATATATTTCAAACTATCGACAGTTTGGAAAATATCCGGTAGAAGGACCTATTTTTAGATCTCCTATGGACAAGTCACGAAAAGTACAAAAATCGGCGACAGGCCACATCAGGCCTATTCTTCAGCGCCGACTCCACTATGCTATGCTAAAAGTAATTCTGGGTCCTTGGCCACCCCATTAAAATCAACGAGTTGTCAGAATCTCTTTGCCGATTTTCAACGACTTTATAAGCTCATGAGAGTCTGACTAGAGTAGGACTGGCCAAGTGTACCGAGCCTGCAGGCTGACCAGAGGCTCCACTTTAAGCCCAAAGTAAAAGGCCCTGGGCAGAGGCCTACGTATATATTGTATCACGAGCATTCCGTTAATAAGTCGAATTAGTTGCATTTAAAGGCCCTTTAATTTTAACCTCCTACTGGAGTACACAAAAACAATCAAGAACCATTTGAGGGTTTCTTTGTTATTAATTTTGACATGTGTAATATATTGAATATCCTATTATCAGTAAAGCAATCAATCTTAAACTGGCAATTAACGTACCTCAGTTGCGTTGAAAGCGAAGGCTCCACATTCGGGGTTCAGGCGACACTGTCCCCCACAGGCGACAGGCGAGCCGGCCCACACCTTCTCCTGCTCCCCATCGAAACTCTCCTGCGACAGCTGGACTGTGAAGGACAGCCCCACGCCTCCCACCGCCCAGGGCCGCGCCAGGGCGCTGACCACCGCCAGCAGCCGAGCCGCCGTCGCAGCCCACCACGCCGCCATCCGCCGAATTGCGGATGTAATTGCGAAGTGACTGAAGCAGTGAGTGGGATGACTGAACTAGTGAACTGATTTGCTGATACAGCGAGCGGGGTGACTGAAATAGTTAACGGAGTAGTTAGTATACTACAATGTGATACATAATTTGAAATTATATAAATACAAATACTGGTGTCAGATTAAGCAATCTTTGGACCGCTGCCGATTCTCGAAATCACAGAGATTTCCATAGCTACCTAATGGTCTCGTAACTCTCGTTCCCAGAACTAGCTTCTACAATATTTTGATCTAACCCTCTCAACCAACTCGTTCATATGCGGAATAGTTCTACACTTTACCTTTAGAACTACTTTTACTTTACCCCCAGTTAACACGCACCCTTACTAAGTTTAGGGGCACCAACTCAAGGCTATGCTGCAAGCACCACCCTCGGCTACCAAGCGTCGCCCACCTATGAAACCGAGATATGTACTGAATTTCCCAAGTCTCGTACCTCTTATACGCTACTCATATATACGGCACATATACTATATGAATATGTGCCGCACCTCGAGCAGTACAGTGGCAAAGTAAGATATTATAATATTAAAGAAATATTTATTAAGACCACCGCAAATACTCCACCAAGCACCCCAAATCACTTCACACGAGGCCAATAAACGGTAATAACTAGCGACCAGTAACGGCATGGTGAGGTGAACACTACTGGCCTCGTATGGTAAGGATTTATCGAGATACGGAGTCCCGTTGACCAATATAACAGCTCGTCCATCCAAAATTAGCGTAAAAGGTCATTTTAAAATCACTCAATCAAATAGACATTCGCAATGTCTTAATTGTGTGAACAGCAGACATCGCGCAATATAGTTACGCCAGCAAAAAACGGTTATAATAATAATGATATTTATTACCAGTTTTGTGTTGAATTTCAAATTTTTTTGTGAAAACGCAATACTTGAATAAATTCAACTAAGTGACAAGTAATGTTTTATAATATCTTATGTAATGAGATAATTTAGCCAACTTTTGATTGAATTGTAGGAAAAATGTTTATCCAGGCACTCTACATTCGTAAATATTATTTATCGTGCACAGACTGACACCGTAATTATATATATAGTACATTGTAAAGCTTTGCTTTTCTAACATTATTGCCGCCGTGTTATCTTCCATCCGCATACACCAAGAGGATGAACTTCCGTCTATTCTGCGCACCAAGAGGGTAGACTTCCCTCTACTCCGCGCACCAAAAGGGTAGACTTCCATCTGCTCAGCTTACCAAGAGGATAGTCTTCTTCCTTCTGCTCAGCACACCAAAAGATAGTCTTCCCTCTGCTCAGCTAACCAATTAAGAGGGTAAAATTCCCTCTGCTCAGCTCACTAAGAGGGTAGACTTCCCTCCACTCAGGAGCCCCGCGTGTGAGTGACACTCGCCTCGTAAGTGCGATCTTTCAAGCCATTAGGTTTTACCGTTCGCGTGTCGAAGGGCTGTGATTTTAACGGAAATTCCAGGCAGTTCTTTTGGTGTGTAGCGCGGTGAGGAATTCACTGAAGAGCTCACCAAAATGTCTTCGAAACGCGTTAGTTTCGACTCTTTTGAGAGGTTAAACTGAGACAGCTCGGAATTTGGTAAGAATATCATTATAAAATAGACCTGGTACCCCTCTAATGCAGCGCTAATATATTCAGGTCATCAGGAGCAATATACATTAACTGCACTTCAAACAATCCGATCGAGGCTGGTGCTATAAAAGCAAACCTAAGAAGCAGCTGCGTCCAATAGATAAAAGAATTATTTTGAAGCGACATGAACTTTTGGAGAAAAGGTAATGAGATTCAAAAATATTATTTCGACTTTCGTAATATTTATAAACGTTTATCGGGTAATTGCGACAGCGATAAGTAATTGAAGTAATTAATTGAAGTAATAGTGAAGAAGTAATTGCAACTGCCGTAAGTTTAACGCTCTGCAGCTCATGCCGACACGTGCGTCCGCTGATCATGATGCTATTCTTACCTGAGTTGTGCATGACTGACAACTAAATGGTTTTGAGAATATAGAAGTTACGCCAAATTTAACAAAGATATTCTAAGTGACGTGCATCGCACTGCTAAGTGACGTGCATCGCACTGCTAAGTGACGTGCATCGCACTGCTAAGTGACGTGCANGCTGTCTCTTATACACATCTAGATGTGTATAAGAGACAGACATACACACGAGCAGCAAGTAGGAGGCACGACATACACACGAGCAGCAAGTAGGAGGCACGACATACACGATGTCAAGGGTCTTGAATAATTGCGTTCATTAACCACATCCACTCAGTAAAATAACGGGCCGCGTTGTCCAAGTAGTGACTCATTTTCCTACCCTCAGCACGAGCAGATAGAGCACGAAGCACTGATTATGCCTGGCCAAATTGGGTCAAAATGACCCACGTAAAAGGCAATTAGGAAAGGCTTCGCTATTTGAACAATGTCTCTTTTATTTCGTTTAGGAGAGTGAAACAATAATACCTTGTATCTTTGAAGGCATAACTCATACCTGACAACTTTTGCTGAAGGTTTATTAAGGAGCAGAACGTGTTAAATATACATTATATTCAAAACAACATTTTAAGTCATGTTTAAAATCGAGTTCTAATATAAAAAAGAAGAGTTGTCGGTGCTGAAGAATAGGCCTGATGTGACCTGTCGCCTATTCGTGTACTTTTCGTGACTGGTTCACAGGAGATCTAATAATATGCGTTTAAAAAGTACTTTTTAAAGATCACACTTTCAAAGAGGCCGGTGTCTCCGGTGTTACAAATGTACAGTGAATTTCTTATTTTATTTTAAATATTTTAAAAATTTGCATTTTTTAAGTTATTTTTTTATTGTCAATCGATTCATGCAATGTCATCGACTTTACGCAAGTGTGCAAAATTTCAGAACGATTGGACAGGTAGAAGTGTGTTAAATGTCGATTATAAGATTTGCAGCAGACAGACAATCAAGAAGTGTATAGTTAAAATACAGGGTCTGCCATATTTATGGTAACGCATGTTTTTTGTAATTTGTCAATGAAACAAACAGGTACATTATTTTTTTATTGGATGAGCATAGTAGCCAAGAATTACCTAAACAATTCTCAGACATATTTATTCAATATGACCACCCTTATTTTTAATGACGGCCTCCAATCTAGGCGGGAAAGCTCCACAGGAGACACGCAGCATTTCTTGAGGGATCAAGTCTCACTCTCGTGTCAATTTAGACTTCAAACTATCCAAAGAATCTTGAGGTGTTCTGCAGACCCTACTCTCTAAAATAGCCTACACAGAAAAGTCGAGAGGATTCAAATCAGGGCTTCTTGAGGGCCGTTCATTTTTGCTAATAAACGCTGGGATGTGACCCTGAATCCAGTTTTGGGTCATGTTTAAGCCAGGTGATGGGGCAGAGTCTTGTTGAAAACTCCATGGTGAGCCGTTGAAGTGTTTACGGGCCCAAATTAACATCACAGCTTCCAAAATGTCTGAAATGTATCGATGTATCGCTGACTGTTCAATCTCACTCCTGCATGAGGGGCCAAAAAGAGTGGGGACCTCCCAGTGGCGGTTACCGCGATCCAAACCATCACGGACAAGGGATTTTGACGTCGTGTTGCTGTTCTGGTTGCCACAGATCCATCCCAACTCCAAACTCTGTCATTTTGACGGTTAGCGCTTTATTCAATGTCAATTTTTTTCTCGTCACTGAACACCAAGTTGGGCAGCGTGCCATCCTCAATGAGATCCAGAATGTGCTGGCATCTTTCGAGCCTCATTCGTTCATGACGGTCTGTTAGTTCATGCCTTGTTTGCATATTGTAAGGGAGGTTTTGAGGGCATCTTTGAGGACTCTACGCACTGATGTCTGACTGACTCCTGCTTCTACAGCCAATTTTGCAGCTGAGCGACGAGGGTTTCTCCTCAACTTCTCCCTCGTGTTTTTTTCGGACACTTTGTTGCTTCCTTGACCAGGTCGATTGCATGTTTCACCAGTTTCCTTGAATTTTTTTACCACCTTACACACAGTTTCACGACGAATTTGGAGCTTTTTTGCAATGAATTACGCAAGTGTGCCAAATTTTAGAACGATTGGACAGGTAGAAGTGTGTTATATATCGATTATATTATAAGATTTGTGGCAGACAAACAAACAAACAAGAAGTGAAGTTCATGAGAAGTGTTGTAAAAGCTGAAGATAGTTTGAAATAGCTACTAGACTTCCACTCGGTTTGATATGGTGCTGGGTATTTCAAGTCTGAACATGTACCACTTCATAGCATTGTTCGTTAACATTCCTGAACGCGTTCACGTAATTATATAGTTATGGTTTGCGTCTAAATTTTGCCCGCGTTTACGTCTTCACACTTTGTTCACGTAGCACTGTCATGATAATTGTCATGATATAGACGTGGTTTATTATAGACGCGATATATTGTAGACGTGATATATTGTAGACGCGATACATTAAATATCAACTCAACGTGGCTTATAGAAAAGGAAAACCGGATCGTAAATGCATTAATTTACTCCGTCGGCATTTCTTCAGTATAATCTAGCGGTCGGACTTTTACGAGAATAATCACTGTTAACGCCATGTCATGCATTCGTCTTTCTTAATGCTATTCCTTTCGGAATTGTGTGTCAAGGTACCAATGCCAGCATACGTGACCTTTTATATGTAATAATATTCCTACCTGCGTGGTGCCTGGCCAGGTTCAACATGATAAAAAAATCAATTGGAGCTTTTAGTGAACGCTGGGCAGAAATGGCGGCTGTAATACAACACGGAACTCTGGTCCATTATATTAAGTCTCTGATCCATTAGTAAGTCTTTGGCGCATTAGTGAGTCTCTGACGCATTAGTGAGTCTCTGGCGCATTAGTGAGTCTCTGATCCAATAGCGAGTCTCTGGCGCATTAGTTAGACTCAGGCGCATTAGTGAGTCTCTGGCGCATTAGTGAGTCCCAGGCCAAAATAAGCAAGCCCTAGCTCTACACAAGCTTCTAGGCATTTTATCATTCCTTACACTATATACATTTCTCCACATATGCTGATTCGCTAGAAATCTATACCTGGCTCCTGAACACTCAAAGCTTTCAGTCGAATGTATGGGATAACTATCATAATATGTGACTCTATGACACAATTACAAGAGCTACGCTGTGCTACTCTAGCAATTACAAGTGCTACTCTCTCTGTAATTTCAAGTGCTTTCCAGCCTGTTGGATGTTCGCACCATTCACAACAATACGTTGCCTTATTTTGTTATCTTCTTTAACCAAAGTTGATCAACATCATTTTCCTGTGTACCTAATAGCTCCCACCAGACATCTAACATTGTTATAATCTTTATCAAACATTGTTTCGACGAAATCAACTTGTAATCAACGGTATTCTGACGAAATAAACTCATAATCAACGTTGTTTCAACGAAATCAAGTCGTAATCAACGTTGTTTCAACAAAATCAAGTCGTAATCAGCGTTGTTTCAACAATCTAACCCGTACTAGTTCGGTTAGGTTAATTGCGATAAAGTTGCATTGATATGTTTTGAAAATGTTTTATTATCATTAAATGTTTATGAGTAAATCCCAATAGCAGAACAATAAATATTTAGAGATTTCCAATAATTTTGGCACTTGTAGCGGCTAATGTAGCGACGCTACATTTTACTGTAGCGGTAGCGGTAGCGCTCGCTACAATCTAGTGGGTGAAGCGGTAGCGGTAGCGCCCGCTACATTTAGAGCATGTAGCGGTAGCGCCGCTATATTTCAAAGTAGCGCAGCCCAGCGCTGCATATATATACCTAAAATTTTCGAAAATTTATAAATTTGCTGAAAATCCATACATGGCTCCTGAAAACTCAAAGCTTCATGCCAAAATATTTTGGATAACTATTATAATTTGTGACTCTATAACACAATTTCAAGTGCTACTCTGTGCCGTCATTTCCAGTCTGTTGGATGTTCGCAGCATTCAGAATAATATGTTCTCTTATTTTGCTATCTGCTTTAACCAAAGTTGATCAACATCATTTTCCTGTGTACCCAATAGCTCCCACCAGACAACTAACATCTTATCTTTATCAAACATTGTTTCAAACAAAATCAACTCGTAATCAGCGTTGTTTCAAGATTATTTGCCTAGAGAGTAGTTTCCGTGAGGAGGGAAAGACTTTTTGGAATTGTTGAATAAATTGAAATCCAATTAATATAAAAGGCAATTTCAAACAACTTCCCAATAAACACATGTACTTTGAGGAAAGGAAAAGACACATTAAAAATGAAGGCACATTTCTGGTACACTCAGAAAAATTAGTGACTTCTTTTACAGAGAGTAAAGCAGTTTTTGCCTTTGACTCATCCTGACTCAGT